GATGTCTCTGTACATTGCTGCATTCATCTTTCCCTCTATCCTGACTAGTCTTCCAGTTCCTGCTGCTGAAAAACATCCCCACAGCATGATGCTGCCAACACCATGCTTCACTGTAGGGATGCTATTAGCCTGGTGATGAGTGGTGCCTGGTTTTCTCCAAACGTAACGCCTGGCGTTCACTCCAAAGAGTTCAACTTTAGTCTCATTAGAGCGCAGAATTTTGATTTTCATGGTCTGAGAGTCTTTCAGATGCCTTTAGGCAAATTCCAGGCGGGGAGTGAATTCCTTCTAGTCGCTCTACCATCCAGGCCTGATTGGTGGATTGCTGCACAGATGGTTGTCCTTCTGTAAAGTTCTCCTCTCTCCACAGAAGAACGCTGGAGCTCAGACAGAGTGACCATCGGATTATTGATCATCTCCCTGACTAAGGGCCTTCTCCCCCGATCACTCAGCTTAGATGGCCGGCCAGCTCTAGGAAGAGTCCTGGTGGTGCCAAACAGCTTCCGCTTGCGGATAATGGAGACTACTCTGCTCATTGGAACTTTCAGAGCAGCAGAAATGTTTCTGTAATCCTCCCCAGCCTTGAGACAATCTTGTTTTGGAGATCAACAGACAGTTCCTTTGCCCTCATGCTTGGTTTGTACTTTGACATGCACTGTCAAGTCTGGGACCTTATATAGACAGGTTTATAACCATTAGTTTTTTAGAACACACAGGCCATGCACATTGCTTTCATGAAAAAAAACCCCTCAAACTAAATGCCAAATAAGTATTTGTATGAGTAAATTGCGTACAACCAATGCAAATGTGAAAACAGAGTCAGATTACTATTCAACAAATGTCCAGTGACGCGTTTGTCTTGAACTTGCGACATTTTTCTCAATCACGTTTTCCACATTTGGTGTGAACCCAGCTGTGCTGGCCAATCAGAAAGGAGAAAACAGAAACATTTACAAACAAAACATTCATCTGAGTTACAAGAATTTACTACAGGGGTGTCCAAATTCAGTCCTGGAGGGCCGGTTTCCTACTGACTTTAGCTTTAACTTGCCTGTTAAAGTTCATCTGCCTGGAAGTTTGTAGTATCCCTAGTAAGAGCTTGATTAGCTGGTTCAGATGTGTTTGATTAAGGTTGGAGCTAAACTCTCCAAGACACCGGCCCTCCAGGACCGAGTGTGGACACCCCTGATTTATTAGATCTACTAAACATAAGATTACAATTTCTTGAATGTAATGTGTTCATCAATGATCAAGATAATTTGTATTACCCAGATAAGCCTGTGTTGTTAATTTAATCGGTTGTTATCTGGGAATAACATACAATGGAATGCTGCGATTGACTAATCAGAATCAAGTTATTCAGAAAGCAGTGAATTAATTTAGCATACAATTTAAAGTAGCATATTGACCATAATATGCCACTTTAAATTGTATGCTAAATTATTACACTGCTTTTTGAATTTTTGACTTTAGCTTTAGTAGACCCTTGGAGAAAAATGTACACACTTTTAAAAAGAAAATATATAACAGAAATACTTTTTTTTTTTTGCAAACTGCACTTAAGCACAAACTATATTTATATATATATATATATATATATATATATATATATATATATATATATATATATATATATATATATGTATTACCACTTTTACTGTTTTCAATTTAGCACTTTTCAAACTATGTTTTAACCCCTTCAGAACCTGCGTCCATTACAATGGACATCACATGATATCCCATTTTTCTGAAATTTGGAACATAATTCAGGTCTGAAGGGGTTAATATAAATAAACTACAAATAAACTAAAACTGTAATTAATTTAATAACAGTTTAATGACCATGGAAATATGTGGGCCGCATGGCCAAACCAGTACCAGAACCACTACTTTAAAGAACCCTACAAACCTATCAATGACTGCAAAATGAGTTGTATGTTCATACAACAGAACAACATCTGCGTCATGATCAAGCAGCGGGTAAGGACGACTCCTTGTGTGCTTCTCATCACCGTTTCCTATAAAGGCATTCGAGAGATACTGTTTGTATGAAACTGAAAAGGAGGGTGTTCTAAAGCTCCCCAATCATAACAAATCAGTGGTTCAACCTCCGGCACTGGGCTAAGCAGATTACTGTCATTTTCCACAACTTGTCCCTTGTAGCTAACAACCTCCAATTAGCAAATCCCGCTGAGCGCATCTATGCCCTGACGGCAAGCGACTGTGACAGGCGGAGAAATTAGAAGTTTCGCATGTTAATGCTCTGACAAGCCGGGAATACCATCAAACTGCTTTCAGGGGAAACACATTTTCAAATACACTTGCCTAGACACAGGCAACAATCAAGGAAAAAAACAGGTCTACAGCAATGTTAGCTTAACGCAGTTGGCAGACTGCTAACGGCTAACACAACAGGCTGACAGATGGAAAAAAAGCAGGGTGTGTGGATTTGACACTACGACTCCATTGTGTCAAGAAAAACCTGCTCTGCACAGCGTAAATGTGATACGGCGTTTAAATAGAAAATGAAGCAAAGCTAATTATTTGACTAAAGTCCTAAATTCATCATTCAGTCCCTGCGGAAAAATCTAGCTTAAACCAAGCCTAAGGGCTGGTTGGCTGGTTTAAGCTGTTTTTTTCAGTAGGGGTCTAACTCAGGGGTTCCCAAACTTTTCAGCCCTTGACCCCCAAAATAAAAAAGCCAGTGTTTTGTGACACACACTATTCTCGGAGGTGGTTATAAATATCCAGTGTACAGTATATACAATATACAGTGTACCTCAATTGTGCCCATGCTTTGTTTTAGCTGAGGAAGTTGCATGCGGGCATGTACATCAGTAAACAGTGCTCATATACTCATGTATGATGAATAAAGTCAATAGTTTTGTTTTATGGGCAGACAAAAGTATCATTGTAGCTTGATTATATTCCAATTTTCTTTATATAATACCCTTTAATGTTATATAATTAAATGATAATCGGCTCATTTCAATTCATTCATTCATTTTTCTTTGGCTTAGTAGTTCCTTTATTCATCAGGGGTCACCACAGCGGAATGAACAGCCAAATTTTTCAGCATATGTTTTACGCAGCGGATGCCCTTCCAGCTGCAACCCAGTACTGGGAAACACCCATACACTCTCACATTCACACACATACACCACCACTTTAGTTTATTCAATTCACCTATGGTGCATGTGTTTGGACTGTGGGGAAAACCGGAGCACCCGAAGGAAACCCACGCCAACACGGGGAGAACATGCAAACTCCACACAGAAATGCCAACTGACCCAGCTGGAACTTGAACCAGCGATCTTCTTGCTGTGAGGCGACAGTGATAACCACTGAGCCACCGTGCTGCCTCATTTAGTTTCTAGAATGTTTGATTGACTCTTGACCAAAATCAACAACCCACTATCCAAATATATCCTAAAATTTCCTAAAATCAAAATCTCGAATAATTGAACATTTTAACTCGATTAATGAAGGAATATTTTAGTTATTTATTTTAATTTTTTAGTTCACTGATCAAATATGCCCACATATTACAAGTGAGAGATATTTGAATGAAGTGTTATTCACATGCAAACATGCACTACTAATCTATGATTATTTATTAAACATCAACATTGAACTACAATTAAAACACACATTGCCTACACTGTAAAAAAAATCGTAAAAAAAAGGTGAAATGACAAAATTACAGTAAAATTTCTTTGTTGAAATAAAGTGCAAAAAAAATAAATAAATCTACAGATATTTTCATTAAAATGTTTACAGAAAAACACTGTTATTTTACAGACTTTTCCTACATTATTACGATCAAATCCATTCAATAAAGTTACACGCTAAGAGTTTTACAAAGAAACATAGTGTAAAAAATACGCAATTTTATCGTATAAAACAGGAAATTTGCTGTAATTTGTCATTAATTATATAGTACATAAAATAACAGTCAAGCTGTTAATTTACAGATATTTTTTATGAACTTTTGAATATAATTTAAAATAACCGAAAAGTACTGTATAAATAATACTGTAATTTGCCTTTATAAAAAAACAAAAATGTCAGTAATTTGTCTTTAATGATAAAGTACCTAAAATGACAGTCAAACTGTTAATTTAGAAAGATTGTGATTTTACTGACTTGAATATAATTTGAAATGACAAAAAATTTAGAGATATTTTCTGTAAAGTTAGTTAGTTTTACAGTGTAAAACGAACACACTTTTTTCTTATAAATAAAATAAAAATAAATAACTTGCATTCCTGTAAATAATATTTTAAACGTGCGTTTCTTGCATCTTCTGTAAACAAGTATTTTATTATATAAATATAATAATTTAATTGTAATAGAAAATATGCCATCTCAAGCCACAACTTTGTCAATGTAGTGCAAACGTGTGACGTGTAGTTACATTTTTTCAGTTGCGCAGGTATGAAACCGCACAAAGGCTGCACCGGGTCATACTCATCGATCCAGAAGTATAAATCAGCCTTAACAGAGCGGGGTCACGTGTCTCCACATGCGGTAGGGAAAATAATTGAAAAAAATTGACCTGAAAAAATTGATTGATTATACATTCTACATGTCGATTTCAATTACTTTTTAAATAATCACCCAGCCCTAGTTTAGCCTCAGATTATAAGCTATAAATAATGAAAATATGAGAAATAATACATCCCTAATGGTCAGTGATTAATGCCATTTAAAAAAAAAAAAAAGATTTATTTTTGGCCTTTTTTAGATAGGACAGTATTGGGACAGGAAGTGAAGTGGGAGAGTGAGAGGGTGGTAGGGTTGGGAAATGTCCTTGAGCGGGGATTCAAAGTCTGGACACCCTGATGTGCAACTGCACCATACGTCAACGAGCTACCCACTAAGCTATTGCGCTGACGGATTAAAGCCAGTTTGTTTATGGCTTTTTACCTGAGATATCTCAAGGAACTTACAGCAACAGTAGGCACTGTAATAAAAAGACCCTAAATGCAGTGACTTACCTGTCTCTGCTGTGTCAATTTAAAACTGATTCCAGCTCCATGTTGATTGAGCAGCGGCCTTTGACTTGGAGGCTTAGTTTGCAGACATGAAGATGGTTGCATGGGCAGCTGGCAGTTCTGAAAGTGCCTACCCTGACCTGCTGAAGGTGCCTGCTGTTGTTGCATGGTTGTTTTATTTGGTGGGACAGTCATTACGGGCATCTGTTGGCCTGTGGTGGAAGGTGGTGCTTTAGGGCTGAAATGCAGTAGAGGCTTATTGCTGAGAATCTTTGCGTCAACGTTATGAGACTGGTTGAACCCGTTGGGCTTCAGAAAGCAATTTGTTAAGCCTTTGGGCTGACCAGTATTCTGAGGATTGAGCCTCTGCTGAGAAAGGGAAGCATTGCCGGGAAGAGTCTCCTGAGGGAAGGAGCCAAGTGTCTGGTGCACACCTAAGGTAGAAGACCAGTTTCTAACTTGACTCTGCTGGTGGTTGTGAAGAATGGAGTTGGGCTGCAGTTGGTTAGCAGCCATTTGTTTGAGTTGCTCTGCGTGTGAGATCTCAGGCCATGCTGGATGACCTCGAGAAGCACCGCCAGAAGGTACTTGTCCATGGAGACCTGATGTAATGGGCGAGGTGGATAAAGTAGTGTTGGCCATGGAGAAGGAAGGTCCAGCAGAGGCTGGTCTAAGTTGCTGAGAGCCTCCGGTTGTGTGGCTTAAATCTGATGAGTACTCAGTCTTGATTGGCTTATCCAGATGAACACAAGGAGGGGCTGCTCCTGCAGAACTTGGTCGACCTAGATCGAGCCCAAAGTCATCATCTTGCTTTAGCATCTTCTCAAACTCTAGCTCGTTGAACGATGGCACGCTCTTGGTGAGCTCATCAAACAAGTCCTGGAGATCTGGGTCAATCTGTCCGATTACTTCATCTTTAAAATCAAATACCAACATCGAAGGATCTGTGGTTGCCTGGCCACAAGTCTGAACTTCAATTGGTTCCTTCTTTATGTCCTTTAGAGTTATGTTAAATACGTCAATTCCATGAGACGTCATGAAAGTGTCCTTTCTTTGAAGGATGTTACCATGGGTGGAATCTCCAACCAATCGTTGTGTCTGACCTGCAGCTAAAGCACAAGTTCCAGGACGAAAGGAGCTTGATTCCATACGGAGACGCTTGAAGTTGGATCCTGATGCACCACAGGAGAGGCCATTCTGCTTGGGCGTATATCCAGGAGACTGCGCTTCAATCTTTCTCCTCAGTCCCTGCTGAAAATAAAACAGAAAGTCTTTTAGTTGAACTATTGAACTTGTTCCACAGGTCATGGGAAATAAAACATGTCTAAACACTTTTTGATTGACAATTAAAGAGGCATCGCTGTGCAGATTTCATCAAAAGAACTCTTCAAAAGCCTTTACGCTAGCTTTCCTACACCCAGATTGAACTCGTTTTCTGCTCAAGCGGGAGACATGGGCACATAGTGTAACGAGACCATCTCGATCTAATTAATAAACTCTTATTAAAATACTCTTTGATGTTTCAAACCAATTAAAACTGTGATGGGAGTTCTAAAAATCAGTGTATGGAAAATGTGGTGAATTATCTCTATGAAAAATGGAAAGTTTAGCAGTCTACTAAATTCAGTTGTCCATTTTGCATTTCAAAAGAGACCTACTAGGTTTAATATAGAGAGTTTATGATTTCCCAAAGGGCCCTAGAAGGGGAATTTCTACAGATGTAGGTTAGACTCCTAATTGCTAAAAATGTATGTGCTAGACAAGAGCTCCTCAATCCTGTTCCTGGAGGTCTACCTTCCTGCAAAACACAGGTCTCACCCTGATCAAACACACCTGATCCAATTAATTAGGACTTGAACAGCACTTGATAATTACAGGCAGGTGTGTTTGAAATGGGTAGCAACTGAAATCTACAGGAAGGTAGATCTCCAGGAACAGGATTGAGCACCTCTGTGCTAGACCAGGGATGTCCAGTCCTGCTTTTGGAGTGCTATTGTTCTGCAGAGTTTAACCAGCTTCAACACACCTGTATGGGATTTTTTTAGAAAGTCTGAAGACTATTGATGGAGCTAATCTCTACAGGTCTCTAGAAAAGGTTTTGGATACCCCTTTGCAAAACATAAACATATGTGGCATAGTGAATGGACAAGCAGAATGGGAATCAGTGAGGTACTGTGCTAAGCACGGGGACGCAGTGGCGCAGTAGGTAGTGTGGTGCCTCACAGCAAGAAGGTCGCTGGTTGGAGCCTCGGCTGGGTCAGTTGGCGTTTCTGTGTGGAGTTTGCATGTTCTCCCTGCATTTGCGTGAGTTTCCTCCGGGTGCTCCGGTTTCCCCCACAGTCCAAAGACATGCGGTACAAGTGAATTGGGTGGGCTAAATTGTCCAGTGTATGTATGCGAATGAGTGTGTATGGGTTTTCCAGTGATGGGTTGTGGCTGGAAGGGCATCTGCTGCGTAAAACATATGCTGGATTGATTAATTCCGCTGTGGTGACCCCAGGGACTAACCAAAAAAGTAAATAAATGAATGTAGTAGGCTCTAGATACTGGTTCTGAAATACAAACCCCATTCCAAAAAAAGTTAGGACACTATAAATTGTAAATTTAAAAAAAATGCAATATTTTACAAACCTCATAAACTTATATTGTAGTTACAATAGACTATAGATCACATAACAAATGTTGAAAGTGAGAAATAAAAAAAATTCAGGCCAAATGTTGGCTTATTTTGAATTCCAAGACAACTACACATGCCAAAAAAGTTGAGACAGGTAGTAATATACCTGTATAGTAATACACCAATTTTCTACTTATTAGGTCAATTGACAACATGATTGGGTTTAAAAATAGCCTCTCAGAGTGTCTTTTCAAGGTCAAGATAGGCAGAGCATCACTAGTTTCCTCAATGCTGCTCAAAAAATGAATAAAGCAGTATCAGAATGGAGTTTCTCAGCGAAAAAATTGCAAAGAGTTTGAAGTTATCACCATCTACAGTGCATAATATCCTCTTTGGGCCCTTAAACGGCACTGCATCCCAAACAGGAATGCTACTATAATGGAAATCACAATGTGGGCTCAGGACTACTTCCAGAAAACTTTGTCGGTGAACACAATCCCCCGTGCCATTAACCGTTGCCGGCTAAAAGTCTATAGATCAAAAAAAGAAGTCATATTTAAACATGATCCATACGCGCAGACATTTTCTCTGGGCCTAGGCTCATTTAAAATGGACTGTGGCAAAGTGGAAAACTGTTCTGTGGTCAGACAAATCAAAATTTGAAGTTCTTTTTGGAAAACTGGGATGCCATGTCATCCGGACTAACGAGGACAGGGACAACCCAAACTGTTATCAGCACTCTCTGATGGTAAGCGGTTGCATGAGTGCCTGTGGCATGGGCAGCTAACACATCTGGAAAAGCACCATCAATGCTGAAAGGTATATCCAAGTTCTAGAACAACATACGCTCCTATCCAGACGTGGTCTCTTTCAGGGAACACCTTGCATTTTCCAACATGGCAATGCCAGTCCACATACTGCATCAATTAAAACATCATGGATGCGTAGAAGAAGGATCTAGGTACTGAAATGGCCAGCCTAAAGTCCAGATCTTTCACCCTTTGAAAACATTTGGCGGATCATAAAGAGGAAGATGCGAAAAGGAAGACCTAAGACAGTCGAGCTGCTCGAAGCTATTATTAGACAAGAATGGGAGAACATTCCTATTCCTAAACTTAAGCAGCTTGTCTTCTCAGTCCCTAGATGTTTGTAAAAAGAAGAGGGGACGCCTCACATTTGTGAACATGGTCTTGTTCAACACAATCTCACGGTAAGTTTTTGATTTAGTGGCTAATTCGTATGAATTCGTACAATCTAATTCGTACAATTTAGTACGATTTGCTCATCACCCAATGACAGTTGGGTTTAGGGGTGGGGTTAGGTGCCACGCTTCCTCTTTAAAATCGTACAATTTCGTAAGACTACAATTTCGTACGAATTAGCCACTAAACTGACAAAACGTAAAATGTTCACGTTTTCTCGTGATATCAGGCTGTCTTGTCCCAACTTTTTTGAAATGTGTTGATGCCATGACGCATAAAATCAACTTATTTTTTCTTTAAAGTGATACATTTCCGCAGTTTAAACACTTGACATGTCATCTATGTTCTATACCGAATATTACATTGAATTTTGGAGCTTCCACATCATTGCATTCAAATTTTATTCCCAATTTGTACAGTGTCCCGGCTTTTTTGGCATAGGGTTTGTACTCATAATATCAATGCAAGCCCGCATTGAGTTTATTACTATTTTCATACATGCATAAATTAGTTCTTTCCTTCTTTGAATGTAGATGATTCATTTTACATCAGGACGTTTATGCCCAGAGTTAGTAATTAGCATAATACATGCACGAACCATCCTAAGAACAGCCATTGATCATTTTCTGCAAATGTATTTCTGTCTAAATGTGTTCTTGCCCTGAGAGCATGCACAGTAAGGTTTTTAAAGTTAAAACTGACACTCTCAAAAGTAGCTGAAACCCACACAGACACACACAACACCTTTTATAGAGGCCTATGGGCAACATTTTCTTCAACTGTATGCTTATGCAGTACATTTTACAGCTTTAATGCTTCTTTTTTTAATGAAATAAGATTTATTCTAGGATCTCTTGCTTTTTTTCCAGAGTTTATTTATATATTGTCAAAACATGCCGTCCTTCCAATTTTTACATCAAGTGATTTTCTTTAAAATGTTTGCAAATTGCTTCTAAACCTTAAAGCGATAGTTGCCTAAAATGAAAAAGAAAGTTGGTTGCTGGTACCCGTTGACTTACATCATACTTTTTCTTCTACAGTTAATGAGAGCCAGTCTTACTCGTAGCATGAATATCCCTGGATAAGATGTGTGAGCATCTGCGCTAATCCGCCTCCTTTGCTAGCAGCAGCTCCATAATAACAAGAAATATTCCAGAAACTGTTGTCTCAAAACCTGCTATTAGCTGCGTAGATAAATTTAGCCGTTAGATAGATGTTGTTAGACAAAAGAAAGCTTTATCTGTGTCTCTCATTTGCATGAATTACATTTCCCACTGTTAGCCTGCTGTAAAGATAGCAGCATTTTCCATGTGCGAAACGTTTCCTTTGTTCCTCAAGTCTTAATTTATGCAAATTAGGCTTGAACAATGACTCATGAGTGCTGTTAAGTAGCTGTATAATGGAATATATATATATATATATATATATATATATATATATATATATATATATATATATATATATATATATATATATATATATATATATATGTATATGTTTTGTTCTCTCACAATGCAGCTTTTTTTGCTGCATGAGTTGGTGGTTCATTCCGCTGTGGCAATCCCAGATCAATAAAGGGACTTGGTTGAAAAGAAAATGAATGAATGAATACAAAGAAAGGGTTGGCCTAATGTGTAAAAAAAAGGCTTACTGATATTGTATGCTCAATATTGTATGCTAAGATAAAGTTTAATACTAGTATTATTATTGTTATTTCTCAAACATCAAGTCAAGTCAAGTTGTTTATTGTCATTCATCTACATGCGTGGACAAACAGAGGAACGAAATGTGTCTCGCAGGACCACAGTGCTACATAAATCAATCCTAAATACAAACACAACACTGGACATAAGAGCTATTTAAAAAAAAACCTATGCATAACTCACATATACTATAAGATACTTAACTATAAACATACGGCAGCCAAGTACTTTTACATGAGACTGAATCATGTTGCTGAGAATAATTATAATTGAATTGTTTTA